CAGTTTTAATATTATAAGGAAACAATAAATAAATAATATAAAAGTTTTATCCCTTTGGCAATTTCATTATCTATTACTCTTATGTCCTCCTCTATCCAAATAATAATAAATATTCATGTTCTCATTTTATATATTTTACTCATTAACAGAATATTTTAATTTTCATTTTTTTTTTTTTTTTCAGTAATATACCATATGGAAAGTTAATTTAAATAAACATTTCAAAAGAAGTCATTGGCAAATATAATTATTCAAAATTGTGTTTTACTGCGCACAATATTTGTGAGATACAAAAGCAAAGTGAAGTAACAAATTGCAATTACGACTTTTCAGCGTATTATTTGTTGCCTCCTTTGAAGCGTGTTTTTTACAGACATCCAATTGCATGATAAATGATAAGTTCGTAATGTTTGATTGAATATTTAATACATGCTTCAATATTATTTTGTTTATGGCTGCCATTATTTGGCGCTGTTATTGCAATAATTACATTTTTCATTCGCGTATCAATACGCACACACACACACACACACACACATGTGTAGAGGCGTATGTGAGCTTGTTTATTTGCGTACTTTATTTCAGGTGATTTATTTTTAATAACTTTTCGCTGACAGTTGGCAAATATTTCATCGAGCTGCACTCGATTATTAATGTACTTTCATTTCGCGCACTCGATGCGGAGTGCGTGCGCCTGTCCATAATGAATCCGGCGTATCGCTTTCAACTTGAAAGTGAAAATGCAAAAACAAGAGCCGGATAAAATTATATTCCATATCCCATATAGCAAATATGCAAATGCGCGCAAATGAAAATGAAAATGAAATCCAAAACGAGAACGAAACCGAAAACGAAAATATGGGCTGGAAATCATCCAGCTGAAAAACCAATTCAATTTGTTGCTTTTAATTGCATTTCATGTTTTGTTAATGCCGCGATCCAGCGCAATGCCCGTACATGGCTGTTAATTTTCCAGCTGGAGCTGGGCGAGCGGGGGCTTTGGGGCATATTATTATATCTCATTGTGCTGATTGCTTGCTCATTATTGGCCTTGATATGATTTGACAAGGGCACAGCTGTGGGCTGGCCTTTAAATTACCTTTGGCAATGGCAACAAGCTGACATTTATATTTGCGCAAATTAATCAAAGGACATTCAAGTGGCAGAAGACAAAGGACATGGCAAAGGCAAAGGCAAAGGCAAAGGCAACGTAAACCAAAATGTAAATAAGCAAATGCCCAGACAATCGAATGAAGATGGCAGCTATAAATCATGCAACATATTGCAGTGTAGCCAATTTAGGTAAATAACATATAAATTACACTGCAAGTAGATAACCAGACAGAGAGAGAGAGAGACAGAGAGAAGGAGTAAGAGAGACAGCGCAGTCAGACGCCCTCAAAGGAAATTGTTCGAAAAACAAGGCAAACAGCAATTGTGTTATTCGATCCGGCGCAGGCAGAGAACTTCAGCAAGCCACGCGCTTCATTAGCCACCCACAACAAGCGGAACTGGCTAACTGACTAGCAGACAGATGGAAGGACAGACGGACGAAGTGACTGACTGATGAACTGGCAGACTGACTGCCAGGAGTGAATGTTGGCTGGCGCCAATGCAAATGCGTAATGGATACTTGGCAGTGCCATCATTTCCTGGGCTAACAAATTGACTTGATTTGCTTTCGCCTTGGCAACGGCTTTCACCTGAACTGAGCCTTTTCCAGCATTATTAATAACCAGGCATTAATCTGAACCCCGTCGTTGTCTATGCGCAGCAGCTGCCTGGGCCCGGCCTGGCTTTTGGCCAAAATGCTTGGCGCTTAGCTTGTAATTGTTGCCCAGATTCAAGGTAAAGCCGCGCAGGCTTGAGAAATTCATGAACTGTTTAATTAATGAGTTATTGTTGCATATCAGCGCTGCGCAGCAACCACTTGGAAAACAATGCTAGGCGTTCAAATAACGTCAATCAGTTACGCAAAAAGAAAAAAAAAAAATGCTATAAAATTAAATTCCTTAATGCTTGTCAATAATTCACAAGATTTAAATGGATATTATTTGATTATTATTATTTTTTATTTAATCGCTTGCATATATACATTTCTCTTTTTTTTTTTTTTTTTCATTTGTAATTCATTCCACATTTGCAATTCTCGCAAAAGAGCTTTACTCAACTTCCTCCCTTGGTTTTTATTCTTTTGACAAAATGCGATTAAAAACATTTTTGGACTAGAAACAATTTGCGCATGAAATATAAATGTATAAATTAAGAGAGATATACACATACACATATACATATATATATCGGAATATATCCATATTGAGCATTCTCATAGTTGATTTTAAATTACTTTTCACAAACGAACGTAAATGGGGCCGCTCTTTAAATATGCATGAATTTCGATTTGAAAATTGCTTGTGAAACGGAATGAAAATGAAAATGAAAGAAAACGAAGGAAAATATCAATTTGAAAATAGACAAAAATATTTCTGTTGCTTGTTGTCGGGTTGTTGTTCAGAAAGGACATTTCGTGTGAGTTTATGCTGAACGAAACTCTAATTTAATTTATGCTCGCACAAATACAAGACATTTCTCATTTGGCAGCAGTTTGTACACATTTTTGACATTTTCATTTGTCAGTTATGAAACAGAGAAACACACACGCACACAAAAACACACACACACACACACACTCGTGCACATTCTACTACGGAACTGTGCGTGGGCGAATGTCTAAGCTTCTGTTCTTGTCCTTGTGTGCTCGTGTTGTCCTTATATCCTTATCACAAAATGATTTGACAATCAAGAGCAAGCCAGCAGTTGAACTGCATGTCCGCATCTCAGGTTGTGCCTTAAAAATTTCACTTGTTCTACAATAGAGCCTAAGAGTGAGAGAGTGGGAGAGTCAGAGTTGATGTTGGGTCGAGACATAGGGTAAATCATATAGATTTGTACCTTCTATCACTCAGCTAGACAAAGCAACTGCTTCACTAATGAATAAGCATTTCGAGCATTTTATTTCCATCTCTCATAGCATTTCAATGAGCCCATTGGCATGTCTTAGATATCTTCTAAACTGCTGTCATTGAAAATAATTTCAATTTCTGGTTGTCAGACATTCGCACCAAATTGGTATTTGCCAGCAGACATAAGCAATTGTTTCTTGCCCTTCTCTCGGGGCATTGGGCATGGGCGGGGGTTTTTCATTGCGCGGTAATGGGCAACGCGTTTTGGTAACACGCGGCGTATGCTTAATGCGCGCCAAGTGTCTGTGGCAACGGAAATGGCACGTGTCGCGACTTTGGCCACGCACCCAGCGACTGTCTGCGTATTTCAATTATTTTTTTCGCTTTTCGTTTTTCTATTCCATTTATTCAAAAGCCGTAGCGACTTTAGACCAAACACTTAATTTTCCTGCTCGCTTTATGGGGCCGGAGCAGCGCTTAAGTAATGCCGAGTTCTTGTGGCTTTTATAGATTGGCGAGCTGCACAGCCGGCTAAAGTGCCAGCTAATACGCTTAAACTTAATTAAAAACTTATCAACAGCTGCGGTAAACAATTTGGCTGTCTCCAGTCGTGTTGCCTCTGGCAACCCGGCCCCAAACTGTTGCAACCACAACTTCAAGCCGGAGTAAACCAAGCAACGTGACGACTTATCGCCACCCAAAGAGATATGCCAAAATCATCAGGGAAACGAGCTAAATCAATTGCCCTTTAAAGAAAACTAAGCTCAATTGGATTTATTTTCTGCATAAGGTAAATGTGTCAAGCAATTAGCAAATGCCAAAGGCTGCAATACCTATTCAATTCATGCATTTGCCAAGGGGCCAGTCCTTGAGCAAGGCTATGAAATAATTGAGCTCTCAGAGTGCTTCAGTTGCTAAACACAATTGTCGACTAGTTTCTATTAATTATTTAAAAAATATGTAAAAGTAGATGTAGAAGTTCAAAATGTTGGATTTTAAATGAAAATTACATGTGAATACATCTAAGACTTGAAATGAAACAACAGCTATTAATTAGAATACTATGG